CAAACATACCACAATACATCTTACTTCTATAATCAATCTAAACTACATTTTGTTCGTATAATTTTTCTAAAATATATTCTATAAGTTATCTATAACTTAATCTCTAAAACTATAAGCAAATATTGACTTAATAATTAAGTCAGTTGTAGAACTAAAATAATTAATTTGTGCTTCAAACTTTTACTATTCCTAAATTTTAAATTTCAGTTTTAAATATCAACATTAATCTATTATTAATCAATAGTATTAAATTAATTTTAATATTCAAAATTGAAAATTTACACATGTAAATAACACGGTTTCAATATCAAGCGTAAGTAACAACAATCGAATAGAAACATTTATACATTGTCATGATTGATATTTCCAAAAACAACTACAAATCAATATAAAAAAACAAAATGAAAAAATACACTTCTAAGCTCAATAAGAACGTTAACCCACTATTCAATTAGGATCACTTTTTATAAAAAAAATAATAATAATAACCAAAGATAAAATTTGGAAATATGTAGTTATGCAGCAGATTATGGCATTTTTCTGTTCCTGTATAGCAGAGTGAGCATGATTAAAATGAAGGAACAGAAGAATACAAATAATTGAGCATGTTATTGCAACAGTTGATAGAAAGCAACAACCATGGTTAATCTTTTCAGCTCGTGATCCCCTTGGAGACTCATCTAACGCTTGGTCAGGTTGGGAGCATTTGAAGTTCCAATGCGAAGGATTGCAGAAAACAAAGCAGACATGGTATTTTATGATCACGTCCACAAATACGGAAGAATATGCCCCGTTTATCAGGTATCTACATAGACTACATACACTACATCTCATCTTAACTGAACCATGTTTTCTAATTATCTAAATGTGTGAAGCAGAATATGTGTGAATTCAGAAAAGAAATATTACTCTGGCACTGCGTAACTAATTTATTCCTTTTCAAGTAAGATTTAGGAAACATGACTGTAAACACTACGAAAGATAAGTCAAATAAAACAATTCCTAATATGATTAAATCAAATTCTAAAAACTATATCGAATATACGAAGATTATTGAACTTTCCCTCTTTCCTATTTCGTTTTCTGTTTAAGGTTGTTACACTTGGCTAAAGAAATATTTAATAGATATAAATTTAGAGAAAATAAACCTTATAATACCATGTGTCTTAATCATTAATAGTAATAGATTAATGTTTTAATGTCCTAGTTATCTAATTCTGATAATAACAAACGTCTACTAAAATTTAAAGGTTAGAAGTATTCCAAAGAATTTGATGAGTGGCCAACATGCCTCAATCAATCAAATATCATCACGATGATCGATTTAAAGTATCAGTGCTTTTAAGTGTAAGATGGCAGAAGTCTGGCAAATAACCTGACTGGTTTAGTGAATTCGACTTTAAATTTAAAATAGACTGTACATTTCATATGCTATACCGTACACTGCTTGACTCAGGAATAACTCGATCAAAATACAACGATGAGGCTACCAGTAGTATAGAATTAACCAACCAGACACAAGATAATAACATTATTGCGTATGCACAACTCACCCATCTGGGCAGAAGAAATTTCATTTACAGATTACAATTTAGGTATGGTTATTACAACTGTGTCTCGGTACGTGTGGTGCGCGTCAATCTTCTGAATCCTCTATAAATTATTGAAGCTTTCACAGAAACATGCATCCTAATGAACCAAAAATTTAATGTGAAAACTTTAACATTGCACTCAGGATAAAAAAACTGATGCAATCCAGAGAGCTTGCTCAATCAACCATCCATCTCAACATCACAAGCTGTGCTTTCTTGATCAACTGGTGAGCTGACAGATTCCAACAAAACATCAATTTTTAAGGGGGAGTGTCGAATACTGTATTGGAACATAACCTGAAAGTGTAATATTGCAGCATTGTTGTAAGCAGAACCTCCAAAATCAGAGCAACAAGCGAAATAAGCAAATCAATTAGATAAAATTGTCCAACTCTCCTGCATTTCAAATCTGAACATTTACAGGTCAGTGTCAAATGAATATTATGGGGAAAAAAAGCACAAGGAAGCAACAACAAAATTAACTTCATAAAGTCGTCTCAGGAAACTCTGATTTTCTGTTGCCGAAAATTGAGAAAGCCTTCAAAATTTCTAGCTTAATTACCACTCTGTAGTACAATGCAGTTTCAGTAATCCATAACATAAATTGAAGGACATGTCTTTACAGTGTGGTTGGAAAGAAATGCTAAAACTACTACTGGTCAAGTGATGCTTTTGGTGTTCACTAGGGGTAGTCTTGCTTTCTTAGGTTTCTTGTGGTATTCAGCTAAAGGTCTTTTTAGGAGGACTGTCTTTGGTTGATCTGCGGAGGTTGGCATGGAAAATTACACGTTTCTTCTAGTATTGGATTAGTTTTTGATGATACCTTACCTTCTTGCATTTGCATCTCATTTCTTTCTTAATAAATTATTTCTTTATCAAAAAAGAAAATAAAAGGAATCATCACAAAGCCACGTCTAGAGGTTGAAGAAATTATAAACTTTTGAAAGATCATAGCAATAACAGAATAATCGCAAGGCACATGTAAAATAGAATAATAACGAAAAGAGGAAAAGAGAAAAAGAGAGGATAAACCATAACATAAGTTAAACCTATGACTAATTCCCCACTCATAAAGCATCTAAACTAGATACATATAATACTTTTTATAAGGCAAATCTCCAACAACACTAACACTTTGTTTGGATAGAATGAATGGAAGGCAAGTGGAAAACGAAATAAAGGACAAGATATAAATGGAAGGTGAGAGATCATTTGGATGAGTTCAAGGCGAATAGGAATAAGTGGATAAGATGATTTTGTTGTTACTCATAATTTTATTTCCTATTGTTTATTAGTAATTATCTATTATTATTATAATAAAAAAAAGAAAAACAAATCCATAATCAGTTATGTAAGAAAATAATACTTCACAAAACATAATATTTTGGCAACATAATCAACCATGCATACAATATAATCGATTGTATGTCTAATATTATCAATTATATTACCTCTTTCACCTATAAGTTAGAAGCCACAGTGGCTTTCTTTTCAAATCTCATAAATACAACAAATAAACTTTACACCGTGGGACCCAAATAAAATCAGTTCAAATTAAAGCACATCAAATGAAACAAGCACTCAATTGTCCAACATCTTTGTGATAGGTACCCAGAATTACTGAGAATTACAAGACAGTTCTTGTATTATTAGGAATGAACTAACTGTTCTACCAATGTGGTAAGAACAAATAACAACCAAGTACAACACTCAAGATCTTTCGAGAGGACCTGTCTCTCCTAACATCCTTGTTCAAAACAACCCAAAAAAAAATACTCCCTGCAAAAACCTAACATAGACTATATATAATAGTCTGTTATACAATACAACTTCAGGAGGTTATAACACCTACTTGCCACTAAACGTATCAATACCCCTTCCATGAAGTTTCACCTTATCCTTAAGGTGAAATGCAGGGAACACCTTACTAATGGTAGGTGCTGCTTCCCATCTATTTTCAATGGATGGAAGATGTTGCCACGGGATTAAAACATCCACGTCACCTTCTTTGTTGATTCGTGTATCCAATAGTGCTTCTGGATAAATGTCTAGGATTAACTCTTCCGTGAGTGTAGATGGTAGGGCCTGGACTGGAGTGGTTGGTTGGACTAGACGCTTGAGGAGAGACACATGGAAGACTGGATGGATTCTGCTTTGAGCAGGAAGTTCCAACTTGTTAGCAATTGTCCCCATGCATTCAATAATTTTGTAAGGGCCATAGAACCTGATGGGAATCCAACCAATGATGGGGATGTGCCATCTTTGCTGCAGTTTTTAAGTAATTAGTTTGTTTAATTAATGGCCCAATCATTTGTAAAATTGGTTGACCAAATTATGTTTTGGGTTAATCAATTAATGGGCTATAGTTTGGTTTTATTCAAAGTTTTAATAAGGGCCCAATTGACAATTTAGTCATCAGCCTTTGGGAGACCAGAAGGATGCAAAGCTGAATGCTTTTTTGTGACCTTTTGGTTACCACAATTTCAGTTACAATCAGCCATTAGCTTAGTGGGATATTATTAACTTAGTGATTATTAGCTTAATGGAAAAATTATTAGCTTAAGTGGAATGTAATTAATGAATTTTTGTAATTCTAATGATTTAAGCTTTCTATATAAGATGAACCATTTTGATCAACTGAATATGAATTGAGTTTCTTTAAAAATTATTAGAGTTTTATCTCTTTTATCTTAGTGAGAACTTGAGTGATTCAACAACCCTTGGTTGTATCAAAGGATTTTCCCATCCTTTGTGTGTTGTCTCCCTTGGAAAGAGTGATTCTTTCCTTCCATTTGTCTGTCACTTTGTTTTTTTCTTTCTTCTCCCGAATTATAGAAACTCAATTTTGTCCAGTTTATCTCGTAGTCATAAATTGTGTTTTACATATCCAAATCAAATGTTTCTTGAGCCAAAATTGAACTTCAGAACGTGAGTTTTCACCTAATTTTGGAAACACCCCAATCAAAGTTTTGTAGCTCGAGATATTGATGTTTTGAAAATTCGGTTCTCCATATTTATTAAGTTTTGAAATTTTCTTCAAGGTTCTAACCCTAAAGATCCTCAATCAACCCTTTGTAAATGTGGTTCACATCATTTGGTATCACAATCCAAAGGGGTGGATTCATCTTTTTTACGGATCTATCTAGGTTTTAAACAAACTCTGATATCAAAGGATTTTTAAACATGGGTGGCCTTCGATTAAAGACTGTGGTTGAGTTTTTCACTGGGTCTGCGTGCTAAAGATCTCAATCTATAAGGCTGCAATTTAAGATAAACCCAATCACCTATTTGATACTCCACCACTCGCAAATGCTTATTAGCCTGCACGCGATTATGCTCCTGGACTTTGCAAAGATTCCCTTTAAACTCCTACAATAGGTCATTCCATTCTTGTTGGAGTGGATTAACACTTTGTACCTTAGTGGAATAGTAGTGCCCTTTAAAAGTAAAGGAGGGTCACATCCATAAAGAGCTTTGATGGGGGACATCTTTGTAGAGGCACTATAGTTGGTATTAAACCAAAATTCAGCCTATGGCAACCACTATGTTGGGGGCCTACCCTCCTGTAACAACAAAGCCCCCAATCCTATACTAGATGCATCTGTTTCCAAGGTGAAAGATTTTGAAAAACCTGGTACTACCAACCCTGGCAGTTGAGAAACATCACCTTTAAGAGTGTCAAAAACATGTTTAGCCTCTACATACCACCGAAACCCATCTTTGGTCAATAATTGTGTTTGGCAATCTTGCCAAACCCTTGCACAAATGTGAACCCCCAAAATCCCCTCAAAGCCTTAACATTTTTGGAATTGGCCAACTCCTTATAGCTTCAACCTTCTTTGGGTCTGCAGCCACACCTTCTTGGGAAATTAGATGACCTAGATATTTCAATTTTAGTTGGCCAAAAACACACTTCTTTCAGTTGAGTTTCAATTGATGTTGTTGCAACACCTTTAAGACTTCCTTTATATGTTCAACATGGGTATCCATAGTAGGGTTGTAAATCAGGATGTTGTCAAAAGAAGACAAGTACAAACTTCCTTAAATATGGCTTAAGGATCTAATTCATCAAAGTCTAAAAGGTGGCTGGAGCATTAGTCAACCCAAAGGGCATAACTAAAAACTCATAATGGCCATCATGAGTTCAAAAAGCAATCTTCTCAATGTCCCCGTCTCGTATGAGAATTTGATGATATCCTGATTTTAAATCCAACTTTGAAAATGTAGTTGCCCCATCCAACAACTCTTTTATTATAGGAATAAGGGATTTGTTTGGGATGGTTATTTTATTAAGAGTCCGATAATTCACACAAAACCTCCATCTTCTATCCTTCTTTTTTACTAATATGATTGGGCTCGAATAAGGACTGATGCTAGGCCTAATGATTCCCGCTTGCAGCATCTCTTGAACTAACTGTTTGATCTCATTCTTTTGTTGATAGGATTACTTTACGACCTAAGATTAGGAATAGAAGCTCCCTCTTGAAGATGTATAGCATGATCATAAAGGCGGTTAGGAGGTAGCCCAACTGGATCATGAAAAACTTCTTCATTCATCTCTAAATTGTCAGAATTTCTGCAGGAACAATTCTACAGGCTACTTCCTTCTCCTGGCCCCATTTAATCACAAACATGATCCTTCTTGCTTAAAGTCATGCAACAACGTTTTCAAGGAAGATTCTGATTTGGATAGTGTGGGATCACCCACAAGGATGTGCTCCTTTACCCCTTGTAAGTCTAAAATTTCCAAAATCAGCCCTTACCTCCCAAAGAGTTGCTAACCATTCCAACCCCAAAACAATATTAGCACCCCTAAGGTGAAGACTGAAATTTTTCTAATTGAATTTTCAAGCCCTGTAATTCAAGAATGAACCCTTGACAATGCACCTTGTGTCCATCCCCCACCTATACCACATATGGAAGAGTTGCATCCTGTTGTAGCCCACATTTTGTTATCAGGTCCTGTGAAATGAAATTGTGAGGCTCCACAGTCCAACAAAACCACCACATGCTTGCTTCCAATTGTCCCCCAAAGTTTCCACAACTTCTTAGTAGTAAGCCCAACCATGGTACATTGAGATAATTGCAAAACGTGACATGCTTCTTCCTCCACTTCCTCTTGATTATGAGTGTTGTTCTGTAAGTCACCTATTCCAGACAGTTCCTCCTTAAACATAAGCAGCATGGGTAGTTGTTTATTTCTACACATGATTAGGGCCAAACTTCTCATCACATACGTACCTGAGGTCGATACACAACGATCCAGGAACCCAATAGGCAATATAGCTTAAGAATGAATGATAATGGACTAATGAATCTCTTTTATTGATGGTAATATCTGAATAAACAAAAGTAAACAATAATTGGTAGCATAACCTCCTTCAATTACTTGGGAGCATAACCTCCCTCACAGGACGCATAGTCACCTGTCAACCAAACTCAATAATCAAAAGCATACCCTTAACCCTAGACTCTAGCTTTATTTATACTAATTATTTCCCGCCCCATCTCTTACTAAATATTTCCCTAGAATATATCTGCATTTAATATAAATATCTCTATATTTAATATAAATATCCCCCGTATATTATCCTAGCATATATCCTTAATTATAAATATCTTATATTGAATATTTCCCTAGGATATATATTTATTTACTCTAATTAACTTATACTGAATATTCTCTCCTATTGTGGCTCCTTTTATTGTAATTAGCTCTCGCCCACCCTAACCGTTGCGCAGTTAAGATGGTGATTCTTCAACCGTTCGGCTCCCGTCCTTCCCTGCTTCCCACCGTTCGGCCTGGTCGCTCCCTGCCTCCCACCGTTCAGCCTGGTCGCTCCCCGTTGTCCACCGTTCGGCCTGATCGCTCCCCTTTGTCCACCGTTCGGTCTGACCGTTCCCCCTTGTCCACCGTTCGACCTTACCTCTCCATGCCTTCCACCGTTCGGCCTTTACAATCAATACCGTTCGACCTCACTTCCCTCCTACCTTTCTTCTCCTTCTCATTACCTCCCACCTTATACCCTAACAACCACTGTTCGGCCTGGTCGCTCCCCGTTGTCCATCGTTCGGCCTGATCGCTCCCCTTTGTCCACTGTTCGGTCTGACCCTTCCCCCTTGTCCACGTTTGGCCTTACCTCTCCATGCCTTCCACCGTTCATCCTTTACGGTCAATACCGTTCAGCCTCACTTCCCTCCTACCTTTCTTCTCCTTCTTATTACCTCCCACCTTATACCCTAACAACACCTGAAACATAATCCCCTCTTGATCTTATCTTGCAATTCTTCTTGTGACAATTTCCAGAAAGGCACCACTCTTTGTCAGTTCACTATAGGAGCACTACTCAAGGTACTCGAAGATTCATTGCTCTCCCCTCTCCCTTGGCTAGAATTATTAACACCCATCGAATTTCCCCCTTCTTTTGAATAACTTCCAGTCACCAGAAAACGATTTATAGGCATTATTGTTGTGATGAACAGTGGGAGATCCTCCTTTTGATGTTACTCTAACCTTTTCTTCCACTTTTTGAGCCTTCATCATTAACTCAGCTAGATTTCTGGGTTCAGACAACTTAACCTTAGCCTTGATATCCTCCTTCAACCCATTCAAGAAGATGCCTACCAAGGAATCTTGTTGAATCCCCTTCAAGAACCTAACATTGTTCAAATTGCTCAATATAATCTTCCACTAAACATGTTTGTCGCAAGCCAATCAGAATTTCAAAGGGGTTTTGAAAGATCGTTGGTAAATACCTGCATACAACAGCCACCTTGAATGCTTCCCATATAGGATTTGGATTGCAGATTTCCCACTGAAACCAATTTAAGGCTTTCCCTTCTAAAGCAACTATGATTGCTTGCATTCTTTCCTCCTCACTTACTTCTTTCAATTGGAAATATCTTTCCAATCTATTAGTCCAACCATATGCCTCCTGTCTTGCAAAAACACAGAGATATCCAGTTTTCTCCATTTTGAGGAAGACAATGTCGTACTTTTCTCTTCCTCCCATTGTGATCCATTGCCTGCATTAATCACGGAAACAGTTTCACCCTTCTTTTTGCACTGCAAGACATCATTTCTATCACCATGGTGAGCCCTCTTGCATGAATTTTTGCATCATCTTTTCCACCATATCTAATCTGGATTCCATTCTTATATTCACCATGCTCCACCCTGCTTCCACAGGACCAAGAAAGTGGCTCTGAATACCAGTTGATAGGTACCCAAAATTACCGAGAATTACAAGACAGTTCTTGTATTATTAGGAATGAACAAATTGTCCTACCAATGTGGTAAGAACAAATAACAACCAAGTACAACACTCAAGGTCTTTCTAGAGGACTTGTCTCTCCTAACTTCCTTTTTCAAAACAACCAAAAAAAATCCCTATTAAAACATAAGATAGTCTATATATAATAGTATGTTATATAATACAATTGTAGGAGGTTATAACTACCTACTTCCTTTATTTCTTCTAGCGTAGACCTAGCCACTAAACCTATCACTTTGCCTCTCCATCGTCAGCAAAAGATGAGTAACAATGGCATAAAGGAATAAAAATAAGTCCCTTAAACTGAAACCCTGTAAACAAAAAAAAAAGAAAAAAAAATTCTCAACCAAAACCCCAAATCCTCACATCATTAATCATAAATAAGCACTAATTATTAGAACGAAGGAAGTAGGTGGAATTTACCTTAAAATCAAATAGCATATCTAACATTATTACAATTATATTAAACCAAACTACTCATTTAGTCCTCCGAAGATTGAGACATTAAATAAGTCTTCCAAAGATCAGAAGTCACATCAGCACAGGTCTTCTGTCAAGCAAACTACCGTACATCATAATAATAAAGTTAAACTTGAAGTGATTACTAATCTTTTGAAGACATATTAGAGTTAAATTTGAGGTGACTACTAATCTTTCAAAGACATATTAATAACTTCAAATTGATGTCACGTAAATCTTTGGACAACTCGATTGGTAGTTAAGAAAATTATCTTCCCTTAAAATTGCTTCCATTAACATTGTCACATTTCTCACATTCATTTACAATCCGTCCAAAGTAAAATGTTAGTCTTTATATGAAAGGAAAAATAGAAAAACTTTGGTGCTGTCCTGAAATATTTCCTTACAACCAACCTTAGAGAAACTATCAGCGGGTTTTCTGAGGAAGCTGAAAGAGCACGCAGAGAGGAAGAGTGTTTCAGAAAATTAGTTTCTCTTCCCAAGTCAAACGGACAGTCTCTCCCTGACGTCCACTTTGGATTCCACTATCAAAACTCAGAAACTTCCAAGTGACACCTGGCGGTGGCACTGCAGAGTGAGAGAGTGTGCTTCTCTAAGGGCACAGGGAACACCGTGGTCCACACGTATTAATGGCCGCAGGGCCGGGGTGACTAAGCAGAATCTCTGGGGCGTGGCCCAATAATACTCCTCCTTCTCAGCATCATCCTATACCCGTCCTCAAATTTTCTAGTATTTTACTGTTGTTAACCCCAACCGAAGGGAGGGGGCCGGGGGCGTAAAGAGACAAAGACGGGGGTGAAAGGCGGGGGAAGAAGAAGAAGAAGGGGCGAAAGTGAGGAAGGGAAGACGGAGAAAGGGCAGGGGGGGGGGGGGAAGGAAAAAGAGAAAATGACCAAAAGGAGAAAAAGGAGAAAAGGACAAAGGACAAAGGAGAAAAGGAGAAAAGGAGAAAAAGGACAAAGGGCAAAGGACAAAAGGAGAAAAGGATGAAAGGAGAAAAAGGAGAAAAGGAGAAATAGGAGAAAAGGAGAAAAGGAGAAAGGAGAGAAAAGGAGAGAAAGGAGAAAAGGAAAAAAGGGAAAAGGAGAAAAGGAGAAAATGGAGAAAAGGGAGAAAAGGAGAAAAGGAGAAAAGGACAAAAGCGAAAGGACAAAAGGAGAAAGGAGAACAGGAGAAAAGAGAAAAGGAGAAAAGGAGAGAAAGGAGAAAAGGAGAAAAGGAGAAAAAGAGAAAAGGGAGAAAAGGAGGTAAAAGGAGGGAAAAAGGAGAAAAGGAGAAAAGGAGAAAAGGGAGAAAAGGAGAAAGGAGAAAAGGAGAAAGGATGAAAAGGAGAAAAGGAGTAAAAGGAGAAAGAGAAAGGAGAAAAAAGGAGAAAAGGAGAAAGGATGAAAAGGAGAAAAGGAGAAAAGGGAGAAAAGGAGAAAAAGGAAGAAAAGGAGAAAAGGGAGAAAAGGAGAAAAAAAGGAGGAAAAGGAGAAAAGGAGAAAAGGTAGAAAAGGATGAAACGGAGAAAAGGAGAAAGGAGAATTTTGAGAAAAGGAGCCAAAGGAGAACAAGGAGAAAAGGATGAAAAGGGAAAAGGAGAAAAGGAGAAAAGGAGAAAAGGAGAAAAGGGAGGGAAAGGAGGGAAAGGGAGAAAAGGAGGAAAAGGAGGAAAAAGGAGAAAAAGGAGAAAAGGAGAACGGATGAAAAAGGAGTAAAAAGGAGAAAAGGAGAAAAGCAGAAAAGCATAAAAGCAGAAAAGTAGAAAAGGGAGAAAGGATGAAAAGGAGAAAATGAGAAAAGTAATGAAAAGGAGAAAATGATGTGAAAAGGATGAAAATTAGAAAAGTAGGAAAATTATAAAATGATAAAATGATAAATGTATAAAAGGAGAAATGTTAGTAAAGTATAAAAATTATCAAAATTATAAAAGTAGGAAAGTGAGTAAATGGAGGTAAATTATAAAATGATAAATTTAAATATGCGTTAAATTATAAAATTAGTAAATTATTAAAATATTAAATTATAAAAAGTATTAAATTATAAAATTATAAACTTATAAAATTATTAAATTATAAAATTATAAAATTATAAAATTATATATTTAACCAATAATCTTTATCTAAACGAAGTATATTTATGTATTTTAATCATTACTAAATAGTTATAATTATAATAATTATAATAATTATTTAAAATAAAAACATTATTAAATTACTATAGATTTTTTTATTTTACATTATTTTTTATTAAATTAATTATTTAAATTTAAGAAAATAGATATTTAAAAGATAAATAAAAAAAATTGCGTACCAATAAAAAAAATAGTTAAAAGTAGATAATTAGTAAAACCTCTTGTCTAATGAGCCCGACCCACATTGAGTGCCTCTCTATCCATTGAGAAGTCCCAACTAGAGAGGAGCGAGACGGGAGACGAAGTCGGGGAGATATAAAATACATTGGGGGAAACACAAACGCCTAGTGCGCGCCACCTCGGTTTTGAATCCCTCAAACTGAGCAGTAAACTCTGCATGCCACCGAACGATCTCCGCCGTCCGTTCAAGAGAACCGCCGATATCTGATCAAGAGAAGCAGGTAGATAGAGTCTCTTCTCCGCCAGGCACAGAATCGCAAAACGCCCAGCGCCATACGAGTTTCTTAGTCAGCACGGTCCTCACTCTCCCCTCCCAATCCTACGTACCAGAATCCCAACCCGAACCACTCGAACTCGAACTTACCCGCAATCCGTTTTATCTGTCCGGCTCGAACTCGCTCGAGACCTCGACCGTCGTCGGATAGCCTTCGAAGCTGAAGGCAGCGGAAAAGCTCGCAAGTTTTGGTTTCGCAAAGCAGCTCATCTCCGCGGATTAGCAGGACCGAGTGGATGATCGACCGTCCCAACAACCTCGCCCAAGATTGGCTTCTGTTCTCCTACCTAAGGTTTCCTTCAACCTCTCTTCTCAATTTCTTACACTCTTAACCGAAACTTGATTTTTTCGTCGTTGTCAGGTTCGTCTTCGCTCGCCCTTCCGGTTTGGTAGTGTACACGGTTGTTTTCGTCGTTTCTTGGTTTGTACGGAACAACTATTATAGCCAGTGCGTACCGTTAACGGTTCCATTCGTGAATCGGTTCCCTCTGACGCTACCGAGGGCGGCGCCAGAAAAAGAGGAAGAGGAAAAAAGAAAAAAAAAAAAGGAGAAAAAGGATCCTATCCGGGTTCCTCTCAGTCTTACTCTATATTGGATTGCATCTTTCACGAGGTACTACTTTGGCCTCCATATCGAATGGATTTTTTTTAAAGGTGTTAGTGTGGGGTTTTGGGTGGGACATTGTGTTGGTTTTTTGGGTGGGTTACGATAGTTAGCTGGGGTGGCTTGGGCTTTGGCAGCTGGATAAGACCTATTAACGTTATTGAACATGGTTTGTTGGAGGGGTTACTTCTGTCCGATTGCACCTGCGGGGAGTTTAGGTTTTTTCTTTCTTTAGGTTTGAATTCCCAAAGTTGGCAGTGGTAGAAAGTAGGTTTGCTGTGTTTGTGAACCTCCTTCTTATTATCAACACAAGTATAGGTTCAGTGGGTTTTAACGGGGTATGGTTGTGACTCGAATGGTCTTTCAAGATGCTTATTACGCGTTTGCTACTTTTTGCCGGTGTTTGCTGCCTTATATTCAAGTTCAAAGATGGTTTTCTTTTTTACAAAACAAGTAATTGATACTAGTTTCATTACGTGAGTGTCTTGAGGCAAACCTTTCTGCTCGTGCCCAAAAGGCCAACCTAAGGATGTTTTGCCCAGATTGTTTAGAATCTGTTATCTGATAGCTTTTTCCCATGAGTTACACTTTGCTTGTTATAAATTCTTTTGTTAAATGCATTGGCTTTTGGAGAAGCTTTATAATGAGATACTTCAAGATCACTATACATAGATATTTTTAACTTATGAAGAAAAGAAGTTTATTTTTTCTTCTCTTAAGGAAGTTATCCAATCAGCGTTTTATTTCAACTCAAATGTATGGTTCTCTGAGGTCGTATATATTTTATAATCTGTTGTTGGCAAATGGGATTGTGTTATTAAAACATGGGTTCTATTTTCCCTTTTTAGGCTATTACGTTTGGTTGGTGTTGACCCTTTATTTGCGTTTTTTGACACTTTTTGTGTTTTGGTTTTTTTAGGATCATTGCTCACTTTATCAGGCCCGGTAAGGAATTTACGCTACATTAGTTTGGAAAAGGAATGAAGAAACTGTAGTGCAATATGTTATGGACACGGGACAGTAGAAAGGACAGGTTCGTTCCGAACCAACAGCAGGTTTTCCCTGCTTCCTTTTCATCTTTTTCATTGCTTTGCTTTCGGTGTGACCTTTCTTTGCTTGCTTATATTTATTTGTATTGTTTTTTTTTGGGTTTTCCACCACTTTAGATTGGAAAATTGTATGTATGGAACACTGGTGGTTTCCCTTGTTAGGCACCCATGGAAAATTTTTCTTGCTATCATGTTTTCATTGCAGCCCATCTACCGCTCATAATAAAATTGTTCTTATAGGTTAAGAAAGGGATAGGAGAACTGAGGGGAGGAGGGAAGGGAAACTGCCTACGTTACCAATGCAAATGGGTGCTTGAGTGTTGATTGTGAGATTGCTTTTTTGATACATGTTTTAGGTTGCAAATGGAGAGATTGGAGGAGAAGAGAATGAGTGACAGGGAGAGAAAGTTACTGTATTGAACATGTGCACTTCCAGAAACTTCTTTTTGTGGCATCTAGTTGTGGGTATGAGTTATACTCTCTCGAGTGCTACAGAAATAAAGAAAGAAAGGGAAAACTCACCGACATACATATGCATAAGCGGGACCCATAGAACATCTTCTAAGTTCAAGTTAGGCTTTGGCCTTCCATCAATTCCCTCTTTCTTCTTTCTTCTAGAATGGAAATTATCATTGTGTTATGAACATTTGATGTCCTTCTTTTCTTAAACATTGGCTATGTTCTTTTTTAACTACGTGGCATTTTTTTTTGATGATAATTTAAATTGATAATGAATCTACCTGCAAGTGGTTGAAGCTCAGACCATTTAAATTTTTTTTTTTTATAAATTACTTTTTTACTTAAAACTGAAAAAAAAATGCATAATACATTCAGTTGTTCTAATATATATTTGACATTGGATTACTAGCTTGTAAAGCCATTGATTGAGCAGTTTTCGATTTGTTTAAGTAGTTATTTATATTGTGGCCACGTTGATGTTTAGATTTTAGATGGTGCAAATCATCAAATGTGAGAAATAAAAAGATAACGATTGAATGATTGCTTGGCTCATGATGAAATTGGTTATTTTATTATTTATTTGTTGTTAGCCTTGATACAGCAGTTAAATTTTGTGCTTATGAATGGAAGTCATGGGTTCAACTCCTGGAAACAACTCCTCTATTGTGGTGTTTAGTACGCCAAGCCAGTCCTCCTTAGACTTCATTAGGGGGAAGAAGGGTGTGCATTAGGATGCCCATTTTGTTAGTGAAATATGTATTTCTTCATGTGCATCTCTAGAGGTTTTGGCCAACCATAGTTTGTGTGTTAGTTTTGATATTTTTGAATAATATATATAAAAGGAATAAAGAGATATTAGTTAAGGAGAGGAACATGACTTTAATTTGGACTACTGATGTGGAAAGGATGTTGTATATTTGTAACTAATTATTTAAAACATGAGGTCTTGACCAGAGTTGTTTTTAAGACTGTTAAATTTACCCCTCCCAAATCCACTGCCCTACATTGGAGAAGGAGAAGGCCTTCTGGGACTTGCGTAGCGTAAAGGAGGAAACGTTCTAGGAATTGCGTAGAATATAAATGTTCATACTAGGGGTACCAAACTTGTAGATAGAAAGGACATTTCAACACAACTTTATATGCAAAATAAACTACAAAAAAACAGATTTAAATATATGAATATTATCTTAATAAACGTGATCTACTTTTATAAGAAGATTAAATCTACCAATTGGATGATAAAATTTACTTTTAGATAGATAATTTGATTGATATAGTGTTAACTACATTTTCATGCAACGTGTTGGACTTCAGAATGAAAGAATTGGATGCGCTGTTGCTTAATCATTTTATCCACCCTTTGCAACAGGTGGTTTTGGAGCAAAGCTTCAAGAGGATGAAAAGAAAACTTGACCACTTCGGCTGATCCTCCTATCGTATTGTGTGTTCTAGTTTTTTGGATAAGGAAGCTTTATACAACCAGGTTTGTTTCAAAGAGGTTTCCTTATTGTAAAATTGGCATCTCGTTGCTTACTGTGGGTTATGACCTTGACGTCGATTTGACTAGACATGAACTTTCTGACACTACACAATCTTTAAGGCCCATTCCTGAAAATTTGATGTTTTTTTACACTACTGTGAACCTGATTCAAAGTGGCTGTGAAATATCAAATTCTGGATGTGGATGGTCTGGGTGTTAGAGTCATGAAATTAGAAATAAACAAGTCGGATTTAGTCATGGGACTCAAGTTTTAGTTTATTGTTTAGGGTTTACTAAATAATTCCTATTTAACTTCATTTTGTAGTCAGGGCTGCATTCAGGATGCCTTGTACGGTTTTCAATTGGGGAGGGAGGATTGATTTTGGGGATGGGAAGCTGAGGAAAGCTGATCTACATTATCTTGGGGGGAAGGCCAACCGACGCTCGTGGTTC